TTTTTTTTTTTTAGATTGAATACCATCTCTTCCTACCACGTGACCAAGAAATTGTATATTTGCTTTGAATAATTAGCATTTTTCTGAATTTATTTTGAGCTTGTTGAATTTTTGTAAATACTTTTTCTAGATAGTAGAAATGTTCTAGATAAGTGTTCGAATATATATTTATATCATCCAAATATACCACCACGAATTTGCTAATATACTCATATAAAATATTGTTTATTGATCCTTAAAATATAGCTGGTGCATTATATAACCTGAAGAGCATGATGTTGAATGCATATATACCCTGTTTTGTAATAAATGCAGTCTTTTCTCAGTCTTCTCTTTTCATTGGTATTTGCCAGTACCTACTAGCTAAGTCAAGGCTTGAGAACCATTTAGTCTTCTTAAAAATTTCCAGCAAATCATCAATATATAGTAAAGGTTAAGCATTCTTTTTTGTTACGGTATTTAATTTTCTATAATCGACACATAGCCATAATTTACTGTTTTTTTTGGGGACTATAACTATAGGAAAAGTTCAGTGCTTTTGACTTCATAAATTAACACATTTTCTAATAATTTTTTGATTTTTTTTCCTAGAAAGTCTTGTTTATCAAGTGAGATCCTATAAGCTAGCTGCTTAATAGGCTTCACATTGCAAGTATGATTTCATGTTGTACCTCTATAGTTTGGTCTAGTTAGTCTAGCCTAGTTGCAAACAAGCTGCCAAACTACTTTAAAAGATAAGTAGCTTTTTCTTTTTGTTCTTCATCTAATGTTTCAACTTGCACTAATTCCATAATGCTATTTTCAGTAGTTGTGTCAAAGTTCTACTTTTTTCTGGTGGTGGTATTTCTTCAATTGATGTTAAGTATATAGCCAGACTATATACATTCTCTCAGGGTTTATATAAAGGTCTTCATTATCTGTAGAGCTATTAGTACAATAACTTTCTACTTTTTTTATTTCTTCTTCCTCATAATTGTCAAAGAAGTTACCATCATTACTGCTAATTTTAGAAGGTATTTCAAGCTGGTC